ACATTGTGGGTTTTTTTGTGCACTGACGCCATAAATATCCACTTTATTTAATTTCGTGAACTACTTGTAAATGCGTCTTTTACTTTCCCCCCACCTGCTGCAGCCCAGACAGGACCGGCATTCACCATAGTGAGTTGGAATTTCTGCAGCTGGAGCCTTGCCAGGGCAAACTGAAATGGCATCAGACAGTCTGAATGAGATGAACACGGCATTTTGGTTTTATACGGGCAGGCTGACAGGCTCGTAAAATACATGTCTCGAAGAGTGGTTCAGTCAGCGTAGCTGGGGTCTTTCTCAAACCTTAACCACCTGTAATGTAAGTGTCTCCCTTTCATGCACTAGAAACACGAAAGCAAGAATCTGATTGCAGTGTACAGCACAGACAGTTCTTATTGCAGACATAAATTAAGCAGCCTTGTAGGAACAGAGCTGCACTTTTTTTTACAATAACAACCAGCCCCAAATTCCTGGCACTTGTTGTCAGGCACAGGTAGATTTTGGCACAAAACCAACTTGGTTTTCTCATGGCTACTCCCTACCTGTGATATCTGCTACGGCGTTAGCTTATGCTTAGGGCCAAGGATAAAGAGGAGTTACTTTTATTTTTCGGGTTAAGGTTTGTTTTAAGGGGGGTATTGAAGTGTTGGGGGGGTTATGGGTAAGGAATATTTTTCGCGTTAGGCTTGAGCCCTAACCTAAGCTAAATGCTTTTAAAGCTAAACATTGTCAGGTTTTTATTTGTTTGTGACTTTTGGAAAAAATTCCCTACTTTCCTGTCCCTGTGGTACTGTCACACTCGCTGAGATAATATGGTAATTACCGGATCGGATCATAGTTGCAGAGTCTGAGGCAGGTTACTTTAGTATAGTACTTTAGAAGTTTGTATGAGCATAGAATAATAACGTGTGCAGTCCCGTGTTTCCTCACAGCGGGACAATCAGAATAGCTTTACATAATAGTCCATATAATCCAGAAAGTATCATGTACACTCCAATGTTTCTTCACACCAGATGTATTAGGTTAGTTTCGTATAGCAGTTCATATGCCTGAATATGGCCAGTACCACAACTTCAAGAACACAAAGTCCCAACAAGAATAGGAAGCAGATCATAAGTGAGGGAATACTTGCAATTAGTAGCTCAAAGGATAAGTCCTGATGCTAATGGATCTCTCAAGTAGCTTTTCATGCACTCATGTCCCCTTTAAGGCAGGTCTCCTGTGGTTGCTGCTGCTCTGACGAACAATGGGGTCTGTCGGCGGTACTAACAGGATCAGCAGGTAAGTAGTGAGGTTCGTGGCCGAGCCAGAATTGCTCAGCGTTGTGCTGAAGACAACAGAACACCGAGCAATTCAAACAGTGAGGCTAAAAGCATGTGAGCAGGAAGTAGAAGGAGCGGCATGCCTTGCTGTGATTGGACGGCGATGGTTTGCTACAGTCCGCCCCCAGGTGAGTCTTTTACAGGTACCCATGAAAGAAATAGGGGGAGCAGTTGTCACTAGAACAGGATAGCACTGACCGCAATTAAACCATCATCACATGTTCTCACCTTTTCTCAGTCTACAATACATGTGTTTTTGTCTGTGTCTTCATTAGAGAGATTCATTATTGCTTCCTCTCCTGAAAGTAAGTGATGGGAAATTTCCCCACCAAGAACACATATGACAGTAAAAAACAGACTGGAACTATATTAATGGAGTTATATAAACTGCTATACTTTCAGAAAATTGCCTATAAGAAATGGAGGACTTCTTAAAAACATGCTCTGATTGGGTCCAGTTGGTTTGAGGCATCAGTAGAGGTTGGTGTGTGTGTGTGGGGGGGAGGGGGGGGTATGCTGTATACTCCTGTTTGAACAAGTCGAATAGTGCCAGAGTTGATGTACGTCCTGTGCGCGTATGCAGGAGCTACATTGTTAGTGATGGCCCAGGGGCCAAAGAGGAGCATCACAAGAACCCAGAAGAAGTGGCAGGGGATATGGCGTCAGCTTTAGATAGAGCAGTGGCTTCAGTCTGAAACCGTCACACTGAGAGGTAAGTGTGCCACTATATGCTTCCCAGCAGCCACGGACTCCACTGGGTTGCGTCATCTTGGCGGTGTTTGAACACAAGGGTGGCCAGAAATGCAAGTATAGAGCCTCTTATTCACAGGCAATTCGTATTTCTGTTTAACTTTACTAAGAGGATTCTTTTCTGTAGGGAATAAATATTTTATAAGTAATGCTTAGGGAAGACCTAGGTCTGGAGGTATGGAAATCATATATGCAACAGGTATCTGGTAAAGGGCTTACCAAGAAGGGGGGGCTATAGGAGATGGGTGAAGCAGTCACAAGATATGTACTTTGGGGCAGATCTTTTCCATAGTTTTGAAAAGCGTTATTGCGAAATATAAAAGAATGCCAGATTTTATAAGTCATTGAGTTCCTGAAGCTTTAGCAAGTAAGGAGTTTCCCAAAATTGCAGCAAAATTACAGCAACCACAGGTCATGGTTATAGGTATGAAATATAAAAACCGCAAGACAATGAATTGACAAAAAGAAACACTTTTTCTTTAATTCCACTGCATATATATTTTTCCTAAGCAGTGATTCACTTTCACTAGAAGTCACTTGAGGTTATGGAAGAGCTGGAGACATTAGAGGAAATGGTAAAAAAATAGTGTGCGCCAAGATTAATGGTAGGTAGGAATCAGCGAGACTTAAGTTGTCAGACTTGTTAAACTATTATTGATGGATTCAAGCACTTGAGGAGCAATGTCCTTCAGAAGGTCAGCAAGACAAAGACATACAGCTGCTGTAAATATCTTTTCGGCTGGCACATGAGCTAAGACAGTAGAGTTTCTAAGTGCTGCCTGCACAATCGCACAAAGTGCTGAAAATTGAGCTTACAAGAATTAATGATTTAGTAAGTGAAAGCTCAACTCTAGGCATATACAAGGGAGAATCAAAAAGTAAAGGCGATTTTCTATCAATTGCGCAGTGACCGGAACAGAGAAAAGCTTGCGCAATGCAGCATATTTACATAGCCTGTTGGATAGTTTGACCATGCGCAGTACAGCCTTTAGTCAAGACTTACTCTCAGACTTTAGTCAAGTGGTAGTCGCGTGGACAGAAACCTAGACGCTCCCTTGAAGAACAACGTGCTGTAGTGCGCTTCCCTTGGGCAAAGAGAGTGAACCAGTGGAAATTCACCATTGGATGTTGGCTCAGTATGGTCATAGCACCACGAATCAATAAAAGGTTTATGAGTGGTTAGTATGGTTTAAAGCAGGAAGGACAGGTGTAACCGACGAAGCTCGTTCTGGTCGCCATCAACATCGCGCTCACAAGTCCAAACAAACCATGGAATGAAGACCTCCATCTCCTCCAGCGAAAAATACATTTAAAAGTCAGCCCTCCACCAAGAAAATCATGTTAACGCTGTTTTGGGACATGAGGGTGCCTATTCTGGTGAGTTTTTTCAAGCGCATGGGCAAACAATAAAATAAACTGAAATCTGCAATTCACAGCAAAAAAAGGTGAATGCTGTCCAAAACAGTCCTGCTGCACCATGACAATGCACGTCCCTCATACAGAAGCAGCGACAGTGGAGACTATGCAACAGCATGGGTTCAAATGTCTTCCACATCCTCTTTACAGCCCAGATCTGGTGCTGGGCAATTATCACATGTTCGGTCCACTGAAGGAGGCGCTCCACAGTCGCAGGTTCACATCAGATGATGAAGTAAAGGAAGAGGGGCATACCTGGCTTCAGCAGAAGCTGAAAAGCGTCTTCTCTGCCGGAATACAGAAGCTAGTTGAACAATACAAGTGCATTATCTTGCATGGGGACCGTTTTGAAAAGTGATATGTTTAAGTGCTCACAGTTACTTCTATTAAAGCCATTACAGTAAATGTATGTTAATGATTCTCCCTCATATCAAATAACAAGAAAAAAAAAACAGTTTATTTCTTAAAGTAATTAAATGTATTTTAAATGCAACAAGTATAAATACCTGAATTTGATTTGATTCTGCCTTTTATAATTGTCTGTATAATAGCACTCAGACTTAGGGAAAGATGGGCAGTACCTGGGGCCAGTCAAGCGTCCTGCATGCACATGTGCCGACAAGGAGCAATGCTTAGGAGAGCGCATGGAGATGACCTCATCATCCTGTTGCTGCTTATTTACTGTCCAGTGATAGGCTGGGTCATTGGCATAGCGGGGTGGGAGGGGGGCACGTATCCCCGGGCGCCTCATGACCCAGCCTATCACTAGACAGTGACCTTGCTACTCCTCTGGGTGCATTGAGTGGCTCTAGCTGTATTTCTTAACTGTAGGAAGTAGAAAAACTTCAGGTCACTAGACTGGCCATGCTGTGTGGCATTTAAGATACTGCTCCTACATGTATTTCAGCTGTAGATTTGACGGTTTGTCTGGAGTTAAGCTTTAAAGGAAATTAGATTATGTACACAGGTTAAAATGTATCATAAGGCACAGTGGGCCTGTAAGGGCTGAAGTTTTCTTCCACCTAATGAACAGAATACCCAAGCTCTACTCTAGAGTCTAGACAGGGTCATTACAACCCACCCACACACAGGACCAGAGAATCCAAAACATGTTCCATGTAAAGTATGTGGGAAAAGTAGATGGGACATGGCTTGGGTTCTTTCAGATGCATTTTCCTGTACACAGCTGGTAGGGCCAGCTCACACTTGTCCATTTTCCTGCAGCAAAGTGCATTCATACATTCGTCAGGGACTTTGTCAGTGGGATGTCTGTGCTAAGTTCCTGGATCTGCATACCTGCTTTGGCCATTATGAGAAGCTACCACTCTCCTTATGGGATTTTTTTAAATTCAGATTATATTATTTAATTGTGTTGTAGATGAGTTTAGTACCTGGAAGGAACTGGAACGGCTGGGAAAAAAGAAGCACTGATCATTCCCCATGATTGTTAGGTTATGTATGTACGGTTTAGAAGATCTCTAGGATTTCTAATTTAACACTTTTCTTTCTTTATAGTTCATGAAGAAGAAGCCCAGTAAGCGCCTAGGAAGCCTGGCCTTGGGGGGAGAGAAAGCCATCCTTTGGCACCCGTTTTTCAAAGATATTAACTGGGACCAACTCAACAAGAAGGAAATTGAGCCTCCATTTAGGCCCAGAATTGTAAGTATTAGTACAGATTCCAAAGTTGTCATTGCAATATGGTAAATTGACAGTAGTTCTCTTGGCTCACAAATTGTGGGGGTCACATGTACTCCACAAATTCACAAACTTAGATTAGTAAATTTGGCATTGGTCCAAGCAGGTATTTGTCTGCTCACAGGTGGGTCATTTGAGCAGGTGCACATGAGCACTCTGGGACCTATGGGCCCATACAGGTTTTGTCTCTCCTATCTCCTAAACCTGGGCACGGTTTATTTCTAGAACAGATGAGAATTGGAAAGCATTCTTCATAATTCTGCAGTGACATGTTGCTGTTACAGGTAGCACAAGAGCAGCTCCATAGCAAAATGTAATTGGTCTGTTAGAGATCCTGCTGCCAGCGAAAGGAATGCTTGTGTGACATGAACCTAAGGCCCCATTTACGTATGCTGCATTCTGTGATTCCTGGAGCAAGAACCTACTGATTCTTGCGGCAGGAATTCCAGGTGTCCCCACATCTGTCAGCGGCAGTCCGCAGGATTGATGCGACCAGTGACAATCATCTATCCAAAACCGCATGTAATCGTACCATGTATGTTTACATGTGGACTGCCGCTGACAGATGCAACCGCTGTCACCCTGTCATTAACTTGAACAGGCAGAGCAGCCACATCTGATTCCTGCAGCAAGGATCCGTAGGTTCTTGTCGTAGGGATCCCTGAATGACCCTGGGTCAATGCAGCCTTACTGTTCTACTGGTTTGTAATGCCCAAGCAGCCAGCACCTCCTACACTGCCTTCCTTAGAACTAAGACATCCAGATTGCTTCTCCTATTTCCAGTTGATGCTATTTGGACTGTACTTGGGGCTTGTTTGCAAAGAGTAGACGTCATCTCTATCTACGGTACATAAGTATTTCTACTTGTGGAAAAGGTGAACGAGGGCCCAAAAATATTTTCACAGAGGTCCTATGGTGACTTTGTCCACCACTGTGTCAGCCTCATCATGCAATGACCCATACATGAAGTAATTTAGAGCAATTTAGGTCTTTTTTTTTTGAGCATCTTGTAAGCTTCTTAGAAGTAACTTTTTAAGGTTTGTAATACATATATTTTTTTAAATGCACTACTTCAGAATGAGCCCCATGTAAAGCCTGCATATGCTTTTTTTAAGCTCCAAAACGCCCAGAAAAGCAACTCCAATCCTCGACACAAGTAATTGAGGTCATACATTAAAACTCCACCACCACTTGCATGCAGCAGAGCCTGACTGGCTTTTAGTGCTGCCCCTCCAGCTTCTAGTCTGTGTACTGCTTTGGAAGGGAGGACAGGGCTGATATTAAACGGATATAGGTATTCTTGTTAGCTGTATGTAAAAATACATTTGATCATTTTTAAAGGCTTACACAGCTATACATTGTTTTGTTTGTGTGACATTCAGCTTTAAATACAATTTTTAAATAACAATAAAAAGATAGAAATCAATGCAGTTAGGAATTCATTAATAATTCAATATATATATTATGTATCAATGCAACTAGTGTAGGTACCTGAATTTGACTTGACATCAGCCTCTTGTAACCTCCTATACAGCAGCACACATACTTGGAGAGGAAGGGGCAGGGCTGGGAGCCATATAAATGGGCTGTATGCAATTGACTGTTGCTGTTGACAAGGAGCATGCATTGCATTTAGGTGGATATAGCAGAGTGAGCAGAGAGATGATCTAATCGGCCTACTGCAGCTCCTTTACTGTCCAATAAGCAGGCTAGAGGTCTACATCACTTTAAAGACTGTAGAAGGGATAGTCTATAAATGTAACCTAGAAAGTGGTGTCTGCCTGCATGTGCTGTGTTGAAGGTTTATAAATCTCAAGACTTGAAGGGCAGAAATATGATCGCTTTGTTAGGTAAAACAGCTCCCTTAGATATATGTAATCTGTGTATTGAGCTGTTTACCTGGGGTTCTACTTTAAACCTAAGAACTAGATTGAATCTGGTGCCCGCAAAATAGCTGAGCTGCAGATATTTATTTGGAACATTGCAAGTGTTGATTCTGATTCAGCTGCTACAGATAAAGAGAAGCACAGGAATTCTACATGTGACTCTGGAGGTTTTATTTTGTGAAAGGCAGAACTATGGGTATGTGGTCAGGGTTCTGGGTGGACTTTATATAAAGGAGACATTTAGCTTGGAGTCCTCATTTACCTAACCTCTCAGGAAATTTCAGTGACTTATGTTAGTGACGAAACTACTCTACAATGATTTGACTGTGACGTAATGTTTCTTATTCTTTTGTCCAGAAAACTAGGGAGGATGTGAGCAACTTCGACCCAGAGTTCATTAAAGAGGAAGCAGTATTAACCCCCATTGATGAGCGGTTGATCCCAATGATTAATCAGGATGAGTTCAGGAACTTCTCATACACAGCTCCGGAACCCCAGGGTGTTACAGAGGATGGAAATGCCCGTATGCTGCAATGAGCCAGAGTTTACCCTTGTCTCTGCAGAGTGAAAAAAAAAGTGAGAGCAGCACAGGACACGAGAGAAGCAGCCGATGTGTCTTTGTTGGTATAGTGCATTCCTGCGCTGAGGAGATTAATTATTTATAGCGCTGGTACTGTATCTGCATGCCCTGAATCTTAAGCATCTGCTGTTTGAAAGCTGAAGGCTCCAGCATTTGACACATTAATGACTGCGGTGGAGATTTCTCCAGACTGTTCATTGCCACATTCTTGCTGTCTCTGGCTTGCAATCTGAGTCTGTGCTGAACCAGACAGCAAGTGATGGAAGTTCCTTGCTTGAGGCTGCAGCTTCAATCTCTGCTTCACAGCTGTAAGCATGCCGGAGCCAAAATGGTGGAACGTTGCAGGAGACTCTTAAACGGTTGGAAGTAACTCGGAACTGTGAAAACTTTTTTTTTAATGCTGTTACAAAACTGGTCCGTTTCCAAACCTTGGCCAATTTGCCATGTTGTCATGACCTTGGCCTCCAAAAAAATAAGGAAGTTTATAGACTACAAACCAGGTCAAACCAAATCAAGCTTTACATGGATTTAAGGGAAATGTGTGCGTGAAGGACAAGGTTACATCAAGATACTTCTGGATCCTGGGTAATGCTGAAAAGTATCCTAAGAGGGTCTTGCTAAAACAACGGATTATAGCTTCCCACCACAAAGTGGCGTGATTACGCAGTATGGCTAAAAAAATATATTGGAGGCATATTTGACAATGAAGTTGATACTGATTTTCCCTTTTTTTCTTTAGCTACTAAACCCTCCCAGGCAGTAGGACATGGACTGTTACATAAGAGCACAAAATACAGCACAAGCTAAGTTAATTGTGTTTCTTTTTTTTTTTTTTTTTATTCCATTTCTATTTTATTTCTCGAAAAAAAAATTGGTAACCAAAGTGAATCCCCATCTACATCCTAATAACGTCTTATACCGAAAGAGGATTACTGAATAACAGAAAGAAAGCGTTAGAAATTGTTATTGTGTTTGTGGTTGATACATAAGTTTGAAGTCACCATATAGAAGACCCCGGCGCACATGCTACACCAAAGGCTGGTTTATCTGTTAATGTGGCACACAGAATAGTGAAATAACTATATATAGAGGGCCCCAAAGCAAAACGTTTTATAGGATGCACAGGCCCAACAGTATCCACCTTAAATAAAGCTGACTAGGGTTATACAAGAATCAGAATATTCACTTGTGGAGGCTTACATGTGAAAGAATTATCCTTCTATACTTTTTACGTTTTACGCACTATGAGTCTGACACTCTTGCTTGAGCATCAGGGATCAGAGGTCACCTAAATTTTGAGAATTGCTGCCTCTGTCAAATACCTGGCCTTACACATTGCCTTGCAGCTCCTAAGAGTGCCTACCTGTGTCCAATATCAAAGACCCATAGTACTGAGCAATATAAACAACTATGGGCATGTTGTGGCCCTGTTATGCACTCTCTGGAGTTGGCAGACCGTGTTAAGCCAGGCAGCTGACAAAGCAGTAAATATCTGATCCGATACTCAAACCATAGTGTTGGGCTTACACAAATGTAGTGAAGCTACATAAGGGAACAAATAAAGAATCTTTTATAATAAAGCCTGCACACCTATAATGATTTATGCTTGAGTATTTAGATTCTTGCATAGGTCCAATCACGCCTGGTCCTCTTAAAAGGCAATGACACTACCAAGTACTGCAACGTTAGACAAGTGCTTCAAGTCTGTGCACACCTAGCCTACTTAGTGTCTAACTTAAAAGACAAGTTCACATTTATACAAAAATGCACTAGCTCACCCTCCCTATCCTATTTTAACCTGGACACCTCCCACTTCACCTCTGCCTGACAGTGTTTTAAGCTTCTTCAACCTGAAATCTTCAGTGGCGGCCATTGTGCCGGTGCATTGAATCCCCATAGACTTACATAGGTCAATACTTTTACACTAGAAAAGAGTATAAACCTCTTTAGATCTGTGTGGACTTGCTGCCCAGGACAGTGGAGGATAAACACCAGAAAAGGATGGGGATTGGGAGGCGGACATAAGCAAGAACCTGGCTGGGGCGATGGATAGGGAGGGCTGGGGTTTTTTTTTATATATATAAACACGAACTTGTCCTTTTAAGATGTCTATAGTGTTTCATGGTAACTAATCGGATTTAAAACTACGCTGAAATTTCAGAGTTTGAATTGGAAAGTGAGAGAAAATTGGAGGTTGCCAGACTGACTACACCTCGTGAAGCAACAAGTTACTGACCCCCAGACTTTAGTTGCTGAACCTGTAGAAGTATGCAGGTGTAAATTCTGATTTCTCCAACTTCTGCATACGTGTTAATAAAGTATTGAACCTAGGGGTCAGAATAACAGGCCATTAGCATTTCCATCATGGCAGGTTTACTGTAATTCTATTGCTAACCATACATGTAAAAATAAATGTCAATCAATCTATACAACAAAAGTGTGACAACTTGTTCAAAGTCTAAAATAATTTTCCACTAGGATGGAAGATATGATCCTTTCTTAAAAATCATCTTTGTATCCATCCATTTGTATGAGAATCTGTAGGGCTATCATGACGCTGATAAATGTCTACCTGATCGATCACATATTTTGGAGGTGTCATGTTATTGATCTATAGGAGTGCGCAGTAAGACCTGCCATATCTATAGAGAATTTCCAGCCGGAGGTGACTTATAAAAGAGTGCATCCACGCTCCCGTGTTTTCAGCTTTTAATGTCAAACACGAAATGTAAACACGTTTTAATCCTGCTTATTGTATTGGAATATTTTGACTTTTAGAAATATATTTATGATACTGTGTGCAGTCTCTTTGTTTTCTGTTCATTGACTTGCCGGCCAGAAATCGCCAGCTCCTGTTAATATTTCATCCTGGTTTTAAAACATCTAAGCTGAGCCAAAGGGTTTGCCAAACATTTCTCAAGAGCTGCTCTCACGCCAACGTGTAGCAGAGGCACAGATATCCTGAGTAGAAGTAAACCCTGGATGACAATGGCTTTCGTACAGTTCTTGTAATACAGGTTTGGAAACATAAAACAAGGGTTAATGTTCCTTTAACAACCTATGGAGTAGTATGGAAATAAAAGTGGGCATTTATCAGGCCTAAGTGTATGTTGGGTGCTGCAGGTAAGGAACGCTAGCCCAGCCAGTCCACAGATGTTCAGAGGTTGGAGCAAACCCTTTGAGTCATACCTGATACTGGTTAAAGCAAGACACTTAGTACACTTTTGGCTTTCTCACTAATAATCTATTATCTGTGTGCTCTTAGAACAATAAGTGATGCAACAGCTCAAAGTACAGGTATGGGAACTTTCTTACATAACCAAAGATTGTTGTGATTCCTACCTATTAACCTGCTTGTGAGTGTTCTAACCACTTTAAGAAATTGTTGGGTCCATTGTTGGAGCACCAACACTTTTACAGACTAAGCTGAAGATCCATTTAAAGCCTTTTCATTTTTGATTGGGGCCTTGTGTTACTGCACAGAATTGCATTGTGCTGAATTAATAAGTAAGACCAAACTGGTAGCTGATCAGAGGTCAACTGAGCCACTCTTGTTTACCCTCTGCTAAAAACTGTGAGTTCAGAGGGCAAAAAAGATGGGCTGTTGTCTACCTGTCAACTATATAGCTGTCCATAGATGGATGAAATCTGAAAGGGTGGAAAAGTGTTAGCCAAAGAGTGACTGCAGCTAGTCAGTTGTGGTCATTGTTCAGGTATTCTGAAAGCTGCGGACACCAGTTGTCAGAATGCAATAGTTTACTGTGGATGGGGAGTGGGGATCAGGCAATTTCTCTCTTTTTCAGTCTGTAGGGCTGAACGAGAAAAATCTTAACATTTATTGCCAGCTTAACCCTCTTACCTGTAGTATGAAAATTAGACACCAAATCTGATTGCTAAGGACAATAGTAATGTAGACTACAAATTCTGCTAGAAGAGTGCTTCTCAATTGTTTTTAATCCCTCACCACCCTGCTCATACAGTTTTTATAACCATTAAAAAAAGTTAATCACTTCTGCACCATTTATCCACAGCTTACCATTGCATTCCATGCACCCCTCTTCCACAGCTCACCTCTGTGCTCCCTGCACTCCTATTACACAGCTCACCTCCGTGCTCGCTGTACCACTCTACCACCACTGACCTCTGTGCTCCTTGCACCCCTCTTTCATACGTAACCTCTGTGCTCCCTCCACTCCTATTACACAGCTCACCTCAGTGCTCGCTGTACCACTCTACCACCACTGATCTCTGTGCTCCTTGCACTCCTATTGCACAGCTCACCTCCGTGCTCGCTGTACCACTCTACCACCACTGACCTCTGTGCTCCTTGCACCCATCTTTCATAGGTCACCTCTGTGCTCCCTGCACTCCTATTACACAGCTCACCTCCATGCTCGCTGTACCACTCTACCACCACTGACCTCTGTGCTCCTTGCACCCCTCTTTCATACGTAACCTCTGTGCTCCCTCCACTCCTATTACACAGCTCACCTCAGTGCTCGCTGTACCACTCTACCACCACTGATCTCTGTGCTCCTTGCACTCCTATTACACAGCTCACCTCAGTGCTCGCTGTACCACTCTACCACCACTGATCTCTGTGCTCCTTGCACTCCTATTACACAGCTCACCTCCGTGCTCGCTGTACCACTCTACCACCACTGACCTCTGTGCTCCTTGCACCCATCTTTCATAGGTCACCTCTGTGCTCCCTGCACTCCTATTACACAGCTCACCTCCATGCTCGCTGTACCACTCTACCACCACTGACCTCTGTGCTCCTTGCACCCCTCTTTCATATGTAACCTCTGTGCTCCCTCCACTCCTATTACACAGCTCACCTCAGTGCTCGCTGTACCACTCTACCACCACTGATCTCTGTGCTCCTTGCACTCCTATTACACAGCTCACCTCAGTGCTCGCTGTACCACTCTACCACCACTGATCTCTGTGCTCCTTGCACTCCTATTGCACAGCTCACCTCCGTGCTC